CGGCTGATTTTTTTTTGATTTATTGTAGAGATGAGGTCTTGCTGCCCAGGCGGGTCTTGAACCTGCGGGCTCAGGCGATCCACTCACCTCATCCTCCCAAAGGCGCGGGATTAAAGGCTGAGCCACCGAGCCCGGCTAGTGACTCACTTTTGATAGCAGACCTAGTGCTGGTTTTTAATGTTTATTTCAGCAAAAATAGAAATTACAGGTATCAGGGACCTTGGAGATCCCCTACAAATAATCTGGAGTTCATATGTTTGTTGAAACCCAAAGGTCTTCTGTTTGGCTGCTACTGAGCCATTCTCACTCATTCAGTTCCACTAGAAACTTGAAGAAAAGCTCTGGAGACCATCGCCAGTACCATCCCATAATTACTGCCTGCATGCTGATACTGGCTTCCATCTCTCAGAGTCTTCCTGGTTCCTCCAATGTCTTCCTAGTAAAATGAGAGTCCACACTACCTGTGCTATGTTCTTGTCTCACTCCCTTCCTTATGGATAGTGAATCAAATACATTATTTGGATTATTTTGGATTCCTGCTATCTCCAGCTGTTGAGTGGACTTGGAGCTGAATGCAGCGAGTGGGAGTTCAGCTCAGCATTCCAATTCCATGAAGATAAGTAAGGCATTCCCACAACCCCTTGGGAAACTATTCATTGAACCTTGTCTGGATCTCCTCTGTTTGCCTTTGTTTTCTTTACCTTAGATTATATATATTTTAAAGCTTCGTCCATTTAAACAGCAAACATGTAATAAGCTTTATAGAGACCTCTCTGCATATAGCATACAGTTTTCCTTAGTCATTCTACTTGTACTTGATTTGTAAATGTGGTCTTTGTGTTCTGCTTTTGTATGACGGGTAAATGGCTAAAAGTAGTTTCTTGTGGGGGTATGGGTAGGGGAGAAAGCAGTTTTTGACATTACTGTTGTATAAAATGTCATGCATTTAAGATGAATAGTGCATGAGATAATATTTCTAACTAGTAACCATATTTCTGACTTCAAATTAGTACTAGTATGGTCTAGCTGAGGCATTGTATTATCCATCTGATTTATATACTATTTCTGCCCGAGGCAGATAATTCCTTTTAACATTTGTTCATCTATCACAATTTTCAATTCAGTAAAGTAAAGAAAAAATTTAGTGCTTTTTAATCCTGGTCTTTACATCGTTATTTTGAATGCTTATTTGTGAATTTTATAACTTTTGTTGTTTGGGCTACCATGTATTTAAATAGAAGAATATAGGAAAACATTTTCTAAATTGCAAAATAGTCTATTTCATAATATGAAAGAGCCAATTCTTGATTTCACTCTGCAGCTCCATAATGCTGTAGCAGAAATGGAAAAGGAAAAGTTTGATCTTCAAAAGCAACACACTGAAAACATTCAAGAATTGCTGGAGGATACAAATGTACGTCTGAATAAAATGGAGGGTGAATACATGGCACAAACACAGTCTACAGTAAGTCTCTTTTTCTTTACATTTTTAGAAATGATCTTCATTTCCATGTCCTCATGCATCTCTGATATGTGCAGGATATAAATAAACGTGTTGTAGATCAAAAGAGAAAACTTTACCTTCCTACTTGATGCAGATTCATGTGTCAAAGGACAATCCTGAGAAGTTTGCTGAGGGAATTGACTCTGGATTGTTTGATGTCACTTTTAAACAAACCCCTCCTGAGCCTTTACAACTCACTGACTTTCAGTTCAGAGTTAATTTCTTTTCTTTCTTTTTTTACTTCATTCTTTTTAACTGAAAATTTTATTGCTTTTCTGAAAATATTGAATGCTGGTGCGAAGGAAATCAAAGAGGGCGATAAGAGTAGTGTGACCACTCTGACAACTTTCTTAATAGATTTATCTTCACTAAGGAGCCAGACACAGATATCCCATGGGTACACCCCAAAAATTCCTTACCTAAAGGTACAAAGGAAGTCACTATAGTTAGGCTATATAGCAGAGAGGCCAGTGGCGTTGTTCCAGGTGAAATCCCTTAAAAGAGCCTCCTCTTGGAGTACATAGTTGCAGAGTATAGATCTGAGGAAGGGAATGTCTTCAGCCTTTCAGCAGCTCACCTGACACCCTAAGATCCAAAAACCTGGAGTGGTTCTGCCTGTCGGCTGATCTGCATGTGAATCAAATATGCACGGGGATCAGAGCTCTTCATGTCTAAGGCCTCAGCAGTCTTGCTACTAATACGGACAGTCCCTGACTTATGATATTTCAACTTTATGATGGTGTGAAAGTGATATTTTAGGACATAGCCCCATCATAAGTTGAGGAGCATCTGGTATTCTCTTGAATGCATACCACTTTTGTGCCATTGTAAGCTGAAAAATTGTGTCTAACAATCTTACGTCTGGGATTATCTATTTAATTGTTCTTTTTTTCCACCTTTAGTACAGTATGCAGCAAATTATATAAGATACTTAACACTTTATTATAAACAGTCTTTGCATTAGATGACTTTGCCCAATTGTAGGGTAATGTAAATGTTTTCAGTACATTTAAGGTAGTCTAGGCTAAGCTATGATGTTTAGTAGGTTAGGAATAGTAGGCAGGTTTTTTTCTTTTCTTTTCATTTTTCTTTTTTCTGTGTGTCTCACTCTGTTGCCCAGGCTGGAATGCAGTGTCATGATCACAGCTCACCACATCTTCCAACTCTTGGGCTCAGGTGATCCTCTCACCTCAACCTCCCGGTTGAGGTTGGGACTAAAGGCACATACCACCACGCCCAGCCTATTTTTTTTTTTTTTTGTAGTGACAAAGTCTCAATATGTTGCCCAGGCTGGTATCGAACTCCTGGACTCAAGAAATTCTCCCATTTCAGCCTCCCAGGATGCTGGGATTGCAGGTATGAGCCACTGCTCCTGGCTGAAATACATTCTGACTTACCAATATTTTAAACTTATGATGGGTTTGCCAGGACGTAATCCTATCATAAGTCAAGGAGCATGTGTTTATAATATGACCTCATTGAATGGTCAACTGTGACATCCAAGGCATGAATCTAGTCCTCATTTCCCACTCACAGCTTCATTTGGCCAGGTGGCTTGATCCAAGTACTTTCTTGAATTTAAAGCTGTGGAATTTGAACAAGAGTCAGTAACTCAGGCATATTGTAGATCCATCTCAGAGTCTATTACCGTGGACTCTTAGACCAGCGCTAAGACCTATCTTACATGGAAAGAGAAATGGGAAGTGGTATGTACAGTTGTTTGGATCCTGGACTTTAGGGCCAGACAGTCTTGGCAATCCCAGTTTCCTAACAGCTTGGTTGTCATATAAGCTCTTCATATGTTAATTTTCCTCATCTGTGGGATAGATTAACAGCAATGCAATGTAATGTAAGTTGTTGGAAATGTTACATAAATTAATATACATAAAATATTACATAACAAGCACTCAGTAGATAATTGTCAATATTATGATTGAAAATTTACAGTAAATTCCCTATATACGCACCTGCAAGTTGCAAACTGTCAAAGATGCGAATGTGTGTAGGTATAGATCTGAGGAAGTGAATGCTTTCAGCAGCTCACCTGACTTCCTAAGATCCGTAGGCCTGGAACGTTTCTGCCATGTGATTTACATGTCCAGTCACATAATTTAGTTCACTTGTCTGGCATATTTTGGCACATGCATGCATCCTCTATAAATGGTTGTGCTCTTGTATACTTTACTGTGCAGTACTGTGTAGAGCATAGTAGCACAATATCTTTATTTCAAGCCCAGGATGTCCAGAAGCAAGTGTAAAAGCAATGACGATGTAACTGGTATAGCCGATTGTATTAGTTGGGTACCTAGGCTAACTTGGTTGGGCATGCTCTTGGAATGGAACTCGTTCATATGTAGGGGGCTTACTGTGACATACAAAAATAATAATCAAGACAGACACACAAATGAGAAAAGAAGGACTCAGTTTAAGAAGTTAATCAACATTTGCTTGAAGAGGGTGAGTTGAAAACAGTTTGACCTTCCTTGCCTTCCCCAAAAATGATAGGAAAGAGATAAATAGGCATCAACCCAGATAAACAAAGAGAATGGGAGAGCAATGCAATTTTTGGAGTTGGAAAGGTGATGGATAGGTTGAAACTGACCTAGCAGATTCAGGAAAGGCTAACCCTCAATCAGCAGTGAAGAAATCTGAGAAGGCAGCTGAATTATATTGTGGCACCTGTCAGAGCTCTATTCATCTCTGGAAGAGATATATGTAGTTCTTCAACATGCGGATTACAGTGTAAGAAAAGGATTGGCAGTAGCTGGAAACTGCTGGGGGGCGAGGGGAGGGGGTGGCGGGATTGGCAGTAGTGAGAATCTGCCGGGAAGGAGGCCACATCTCATCAACAGGGGCACCTGCATAATGAGCGTTTGTATAGCTAACCCTGAATTGTACCCCGCATGTTTAAAGTAAAAAAAATTAAAGGAAAAAAGCATGGATTACTAGAAGGTCTGTTTAAGAAGTGTCTGGATGTTGAATCTGGGTGATGGGTGCAGGGGTGTTTATTATGCCATTCCTTCTGACTGTTGGATGTTTGAAGTGTCTCATAATACTGCTCTCTAAAAATGATAAAACAACCAAATCTTTCTATCCTCTCCCCTATTTTGTGTACAGATTCCCTAGGAATCCTTGAGACTTTAGAATCCTTTGAATGACCAGAATGAAACGGCTTCTACCTCCTCCCCTTCCATCCCTGCCCCAGTGGAAAAACAAAAAAAAAGGTTGTCAGTTATAAGGGGAAAATATACTAAGATGTCTTCAGTTTTGTTTACCTCATAGTCAATGCCAGAGGACAGTGAAGCTGCACCTGGAAGGTGAACATTAGAAAAAATTGTGATCGCACATGGTTTTCAAGTATGAAGTATACAAACAGTTTTGAACATCAGAAAATATCTTTGATTTTTCATTTGTCACTGTCACTTTAGCTGTGGCTTTTTGGCATTATTTAGAGCTCTTTAAATCTGAGTTTTTTCATTTTTCTTTAGTTCTGAGAAATATAGTTACATGCATTGTTTCTTTTAAAAGATCTATTCTTCCCACTTCTTAAGTCTTATTTTATGTTTTCTTCTCATTTTATTTTTTTTCTACCTTTACTTCTAAGATAGTTTCTTATTCTGATCTCACTCTCATCAATTTATTTGTCAGTAAACTTACTCCTGCTTATTGTATCTATTACACTTTTTATTTCAACTTTTTTTTGTACTTAATATTTTTATTTGACTCTTTAAAAATTTTCTTGTTGTTTCACTTGTTAATGTTACTATTGATCTTACTGTTTGTTAGGTTTAGAGTCTGTTCCAGAAGCACCAAGAGAGTGAGAGTGAGCCTCAAGGTGAGACCCTCTGGAAAACGCAGAACCACTTTTGAACTTCCATTAGCAAATTCCTATTTGCAATTAGCAAGCCTTACTAATCCCAAGGGAGAGACAGTCTCCCTAGATTCCCAGCAGGAACTAGCTCTCTCTGAAAATTCTAGAAAAAGAGGATTATTATTTTTTATTTCTACCTAGCTTCTGGTGGTTGTGGGCAGTCTTTGGCATTCCTTGGCTTACAGCTGCAGTATTCCAGTCTCTGCCTCTGTCACTACTTGGGGTTTTCCTTGCACATCTCTTTGTCCTGGTGTCTTCTTTTAATGTCAGCAGTCGTTGGATTGAGGGCCCACCCTAATCCAGTATGACTTCATTTTAACTTGCTTACATCTGTAAAGATGCTGTTTCTAATGAAATAAGGTCTTATTCACAGGTACTGAGTGATGGGCTTCAAATATCTTTTTGGAGGACACAGTTCAACCTACAACAATAGATAAAAATATTATTTTAATAATGTTATCACTTTTAAAAATGAAGTATTGAAAACTAAATCATTGGATTTAAAAGGAAGAAAGGCTTAACATGTACATGCTAGATTCTTGTAAATGATCATGTTTTTTATTTTAAGTTGCTAAAAGCCAAATTTGGGGTCTCTATGAAGCAGCTAATCATACTAGTATGATGTGTGCTTTTTAAAAACTACGCTTTTAAAACATTAATTTATGAATCCTTTTAAATAAAATATCTATTACATGTGAACATAAATAGTATTTTAATAACTTTAGAATATTTCTATAAAATGCGCTATAAATTAACTGTATTTTACAAAAGAAAAGAAATTTAGTTGGGAAGCATGCCAATGCTTTACATTTTTGCAAGTCTTTTTTTTTTTGAGTCAGAGTCTCACTCTGTCACCCAGGCTGGAGTGCAGTGGCATGTTCACGGCCACTGCAGCTTCCACCTGCTGGGTTCAGGCAATCCTTCTGCCTCAGCCTTCTGAGTAGCTGGAACTACAGGTGTGCGCCACCATGCCTGGCTAGCTTTTTGATTTATTGTAGAGATGAGGTCTCGCTAAGTTGCCTGGGCTGGTCTCCAACCTGTGGGCTCAGGCAATTCTTTCCTCTCATGTTGGCTTCCCAAAGTGCTGGGA